CTGCAGGGGGCAAGAGCCCTGGTTTGGCTTAGAAAAGGCTGAAAGCGAAGTGGCTCTTTTGAAGTTTCTGTTTGGGGATTTGGAGACCTTGAATTAACCCTCACCACTGGATGGTTGTGGGTTTTTATTTTGAGTGTATTTACAGCTTAATACAGTTAACCCTCCTCTTCCTCATTTCTTCCAATGTAGGAGTCACATAAAGAATGAAGATTCTCTGGGACTCCTCCTTTGACTCTCTTTCAGCCCTTTGGGGCACATTGCAGAAAGCATTGTTACTGTGTGCCATCAAGTCGATTCCAACTCATAGCGACCCTATAGGACAGAGTAGGACTGCCCCATAGAGTTTCCTAGGCTGTAATCTTTATGGAAGCAGATTGCCAGGTCTTTTCTCCTGCGGAGCCTCTGCTGGGTTCGAACTGCCGAGCTTTGGTTAACAGCTGAGCGCTTAACCACTCTGCCACCAGGGCTCCTTGTAGAAAGCATTAGGGGAGCGTGTTCCAGTTCACCTGACAGACAGCACATCTTCTACAGGAGCCAGATGACGAGCAGAGTCTTATTTTTTTTCCTTCCATCCACACTCGTTTACCAACCCATAATTTCTACCTTTTTTTTTAACCCATCTGTTGAATGTTCTTAAGGTTAGCTGGACCAGTTCAACAAGTGTTTAATGAGCCCCTACTATGTGCCGCAGGCATTTTTCTAGATACTGAGGAGAGAGCAGAGGGAAGCAAACAAACCAGACAAAACCCCCTTGCCCATGCATTCTTTAAAGTCCAGTTAAAATGTACGTCCTCTGTGAAGCTTTCATTGTGCCCCCAAGTTGGGGTATGTATTCCAGGGCTCAGAATTTCTATAGCTCTTTTTCCTTCCCATGTATGTCAGAGTAGAACTCTGCTCCATAGGGTTTTCAGTAGCTGATTTTTCAGAAGTAGATTGCTAGGCCTTTCTTCTGAGGCATCTCTAGGTGGACTGGAACCTTGGTTAGCAGCCAAGTGTGTTAACCATTTGCACCATCCAGGGACTCCAGGGTAAATGCTAGAGCATTGTAATACCACTATGTCTCTTACTAAGGCCTTCTTCCCTATCGTACCTGTCTGTATTTTTACCAGAGGTAAATATGATTCTGAATTTTGTAATTATTGTGCCCCCATTTTATTTTCTCTTATATACTTTTACCAGATGATTTCAAAATGCTTTTCAAAGTAGTGCACCAATTTACATTTCCACCAGTAGGGTAGGAAAGCTCCCCTTTCCACACTCCGGGCCAAAACTTGGTATTGTCAGACTGTAATTTTATGGGTATGAAATTGTTTTTTATTGTGAGTTTCATTTGTATTTTCTTGATTCCTGATGAAGTTGAACATCTCTTCCTATATTGTTCACCGTTTTTGTTTCTTTTATGAAATACTACTCATGCTATTTGCCTTTTTTTTTTTTTTAATTGTCTTTTTGTTATCCATTTATAGACGTCCCTTGCATATTCTGGATACTGCTGCAATCCTCTGTCAGTTATCTATGTTGCAGATTTTTTTCTCCCAAGTTTGTAGTTGGTTTATCCATTTTATGGTGCCGTTTAATGACTCCCAGAGGTAGCAATCTAGTTTGGGCTAATCATACTTCTCAGCTGTCTCTGTTTTATTACCTCCTCATAAATCTCCTTGCCTTCAGTCTCTCATACCTTCTCCACCCTGCCTCCTAATTCATATTAATACATTATGGCTAATATTAGCTTTCAGAAGTTCAAATCTGAAAATGGCACTTTTCTGCTTTAAGTCCACTAAAACTTGTTGCCACCGAGTAAATTCTGAAACTCATAGTGACCCTATCGGACAGAGTAGAACCGTTCCATAGGGTTTCCAAGGAGCGACTGGTAGATTCAAACTGCCAGCCTTTTGGTTAGTAGCCAAGCTGTTAACCTCTGCCCCGCCAGGGCTCCTTAAGTCTTCTAGTGACTTCTTAAGGAGCCTGGTGGTGCAGTGGTTAAGCACTTGGCTACTAACCGAAAGGTCAGTGGTTCGAACCCACCAGCCGCTCTGTGGGAATGAGGTGTGACAGTCTGCTTCCATAAAGATTACAGCCTTGGAATCCCTATGGGGCAAGTCTGCTCCATCCTATGAGTAAGGATCGACTCAATAGCAACAGGTAGTGACTTCTTACTACAAGCCTCAGAATAAGTTCCACGTTCCTTAGCACAGCTGCCTGTGACCATCATGATTTTACCTTTAGTGTCTTTGAATTCTATGTTCCAGTGAACTGCTTGTGTACCTGAAATCCACCTTCACCTTAGTAATTCCACTGGTCCCTTAGGTCTCAGTTTAGGCATCATCTGATCTCTGCAGGCCTTTTGACTCCTGTAAGACTGGCTTGGTTGCCCCTTTACACGTGGATCCCATATTATATATGGGTCCCTAGCTCTGTGTCCATATTCTTGTGGTAACATTAATCTCCCTATATCATGATGATCTATTTACTTGTGTGCTTCCCTTCAGATTCCTGGAGTCATTTGAAAGGGGATCTTTGCTTTGTTCAGTGTGATAGCCTTAGTGTCCGTCAGACTGCCTGGCAGTTAGTAAATGCTTAATAAATGTTTGTTGAGTGAATAAATGAATGACTTCCTGCACTTGAATGTGCAGGAAATTGTCTGTAGAGGAAGGGTCGTATAAATAGTTTAATGCCCTCTCTGCCCACTTTTGATGGAATATTTGTGCACTTTGGCTCTGCAACTGAAGTCAGCAAACAGGTCCCAGGCTAGTGGATACCATTGTTTGCTTCACGACCTTGAAGCACTTTATTTTTCAGTACTTCCAGTTCCCCCTTACTACCATCAGCCTTAAAGGTGTTTTCTGAAAAGAAAATAAAGTAACATGTGAAAGCACTATAGGAAAAGAAAAAAAATGATATAAATATAACAGGAAACGTTCGTTGATGAGTTTATTAGTTTATTTCCTACTTTCAATATATGTACAAAGTCTTGTACATATTGATCTCTCTACTTTGAGGTCTGATGTGGTCAAATTTGAGTCTTGATTGAGACATGGCTTTTTGTTGTATGTATCGTAGTTAGTGCTCACCTGTAATTTAAAAATAATAAATTATACTTATATTGATATTTCTTGACTTAATCCTTAATTTTTACTGCTGCTGCACTCATTAGGGAGTATTAGCATATGAAGGTGGCTTTTGGAATTGATAATATGACACTAGTCTTTCCAAGGCTAACATTTATGCAGATTTTGGTTTTTTGCTTTAGATGTTTTCAATAGAGCTAAATAAGCCATTAATTTAAGAAGACAAGCTCCTTATATGAAATTCTTTGACAGATGATATCTGAGACACGTATAACCTGTCTGTGACTGTCTTCATGACTATTAAATCTTTTGGCTATGGTAGTCCTTGGTATAATACTTCTCCAAGTGGCAGAAATTCTGGAATACTACGTTTAATTTAAGGAGCCCTTGTGACGCAATGGTTAAGCGCTTGGTGGCAAACCTAAAGGTTGGCAGTTTGAACACAGCAACTGCTCCATGGGAGAAAATACCTGGTGATCTGCTCCTATAAAGATTTCAGCCTAGGAAACCCTATAGGGCGGTTCTACTCTGTCCTGTAGGGTTTCCTGTGAGTCAGAATCAACTCAGCGGCACACAACAATAACAGCAGCAAGTTTAATTTATGCTCTAATTCTGCCACTGATCTTTATCATAACTTTAGACCTACAATCTCTTTGAGCCTCAGTTATTTCTTCTGGAATATGAAGACCATCTTGGTAAACAGGAAGAGAAAGGTAGCGGTTAAAGTCAATAATCCAATCAAACGACATTTTGGCAAGTACATAAATATACCAGATTATTATAGGAAGCAAGCTGATAAGAGACGAAGATGTCCAGTGAAATTATCTTAAAGCTTTGGGATGAGCCTTTGTGCTCTTCTTCTTGCAGCAAATTCAATTTAACAATCATTTAATGATTGTCTTTATTTTGTAGACACTATATATAGATACAGAAGGGCTAAATGAGACAAAATGGGAAGCTGATCTGTATACAAGTAACACCTTATTCTGGGTGATGTATGTGTGTGTGTGTGTAGATATGTGTAGTATGTATATGTGTGTGTCTGTCTAAATGTGTGTGTTTTTCTTCCGTGGAAAACTGTGTTGTGTAATTGGCATATACGTCTTTGGCATCTTCTCACCCACCCTGATGGTGAAATGTCAGACTTTGGCAGGGAAGTGAGGCAACTTTTTCTTTCAGTAAAGAGACCTTTTCTAGTGTTTAAAATAAGTCACAGCACTCACCAAGCACAGGAAAGACTGGGCTAGGGTTGGCTCTTCCAGCAAGATGCATGGTTGATAAGCTTGGTAAAGAATTCCTGCAGCAGCTGCCTGTTCCAGCTCTTTGTACCCTCCAAGGTGAGTATGTAAATTTCAGAGTAGTCAAAATTTTATTAGCAAAATGATTTTTTTAATATAAGTTATGTTTGCTCATTGTTGTTGAGAATATACACAGCAGAACATACACCAATTCAGCAATTTCTACATGTACAATTCAGTGACACTGATTACATTCTTCGAGTTGTGCAACCATTCTCACCCTCCTTTTCTGAGTTGTTCCTCCCCCGTTAACATAAACCCACTGCCCCCTAAGGTTCCTATCTAATCTTTCAAGTTGCTGTTGTCACTTTGATTCCATATAGATAGATCTTTAAAAGAGCATAATACTCAAGACAGACGTTCTTTACAGTTAAGTTAAACTATTGTTTGGTTTTAAGAAGACTTCAGGGATATTTTTGGTTTAAGGTTTAAAGGTTTTCTCAGGGCAAAGCAGAAAGATTTTATTGGCAGAAAAGATTAGCTGGTCATCAAGCCAAGCTGATACCTTTGGCCAGCACGCTCCAGAATTGAATGAAGCAAGAGCAGCCCTTTGATGTGTTTGGCAAGCCTACTATGACATATTGTCTCCTGGTGCACACTGCCTCTTCTCTAACCTGGTTTTACTTTCTGGCAGGACATTGATGGTCAGGCACTCCTACTGCTGACTCTTCCTACAGTGCAGGAGTGCATGGAGCTGAAGTTGGGGCCTGCCATCAAGTTGTGCCATCAGATCGAGAGAGTGAAAGTGGCTTTCTACGCCCAGTATGCCAACTGACCCCAACCTCTCAGGAGTTGGCCTATGACCTTTGTGGTGCAGTATTTTGTGAGAGTTTTCGGGACTGTAACTTTTATTTTTCCGGGATATGTGAAATGGTATCACCGAAAAGCAAGAAGACTGAGACCTCCTTCATCCACCAGCCTGTTTGATATTTCCATGTTTTTAAAGCACACCGAAGTACTATAGCAGTAGCTTCTGGAGATTTTAAATTCAAGTTCTGTGTCGGACCCTGCCGGAATATGGAGGAGCTTATATGTATATCCACATCTTAGCTTTACCCTACCCAAACCAGGCAGCTTCCTCTAAACAAGCTTTCCTCAACCAAGGGCCACATTCCTTTGAAAACTAAGGCAGAGTTGGTGTCTTTTTGAATGTGACCAAGGAGGATACCTTGCTGGTAGTTTTTGCCGTAACCATTCTCAGGCACATTTACAGACGCTTCTTTCATATTGATACCTATGTGACTGGTTTAGTGACCTGTGCCGTCACTGCAGTTTGAGCCTTGGTGATAACTCATTTCTCAAACACACTATAATTGATGTTTCAGAATGTAGTTATAAAAAGATGAACTAAACCTCCATCTTCTGTCAGGGGTGCTGTTTAGTAAGGATGGGGAGAGAAGAAAGGCCAGCATCTCATTACATTGAGACTATTTCTCTTGAGTGATTTAAGTCTAGAAAGTCTGTAGAGACAAGTCCTATTTGCAGGCTTGAATCAAACCTCAGCTATCTCTTGTATTTTAATTTAATTATTACCATATCGGGGAGTAACTCCTTTAGTCTCCTGAGAAATACTGAATGATATACTGAAGGAAAAGCTTAATATCAGCAAGAATGTGAAGAGATTTGAGGAAAGCTTTTCATAAACTGGTGCATCCCCCTAGAAGGATCACTGCAGCAGGTCACCACAAGGGATACCCTTTTAGCACTGCTTCTGTTCAGCTTTCGCACGCCACCTATATGCTAGGCTAATAAGGCATGTGTTCTTGGCACGATGTGTCATAACGAGCACTGAACCTGGAGTCAGCCCTGTTCTGATCCTTGCTTTGCTCAGGGCTAACTCTGTGACCTTGGGGAATTCAGTCTTCTCTGGGCTTTAATTTCTGTAAAATGACAGGTTTTTGAACACTTAGGAGTGTAGCAGTGAATCCATGTCTCCCCTTGACTCCGTCCTGCTCATCCTATAAGGGGAGAGTCCAGATTGGCCAAATGAGAAAATGAAAAAGGAGAGTGTTGTAACAGCTGTCACTGTAGTTCCTGAAGCTCCCTCTGGCTTTGAGGTTACTTCTGAAATGTCTTGGGCCATGTTCATTAAGCCAGTTAAGTCATTTGCAGAGAGATGTACGGCTCTGAGATTGGCTGGTCTTTTGGCCAAGCACTCCATCTGTGTATTGCCATGAGTGATTCAATATATTCATTCAAATGCAGATGCTTCCTAATAGACTACTATCATCTGTTGTGATGGTGGTTGCCTAAAAAAAAAAAAATGCCTTTTTAACCTTAAGCAAGAAAACTAAATCTTCAAGTTGTTCAGAAATTGACACTAAAAGCAGAGGCTTCACACCCTTCTGTTGCATTTTTACAATAATTACCTTGGTCTTTTCTCTTTGACTACAGTCTTGATAATTCCAGTAACATCGTGTGATGGGCTTTTATTATTAGCTGCTCATATGTCTGCTACACTTTAAGGCATTAGGATCTATCAGACTTTGGAAGCTTTGATTACTAATGCTAATTTTTCTGAATATTCTGTTAGCTTTTACAGATGAAAGTAGAAAACAAATATTTTGTGGTTGAGACTTTCTAGTCTCCCTTGTAGCTAATTTCTAAAGTCGTGATTTAAACCATTGACAAATGGACTTGCCTTGGACCTCTGATGGAAGGAGCAGTGTCTCAAACAGTGTTGGCAGGTACCATTGTCAGGATGGAAATGTGCATGGTAATTTGTGGTGGGCTTGCAGTCAGATTTCTCCTTCTAAGCTGACGTTTTGATCTCCTCTTCATTTCCCACCCCTGCCTTCTCAGCCACATGCTTTTGGCCTTAATCACTCAGTCTTGTGGAGTTAAACTCTGTCAAACCTTTGGAAAGGGTATCCATTTCAGGATCTGTGACATTTTTCTAGCAGTGACTCCTATATGATCCTTCACTGTGGCCTTTTCAAGCTGAGCTGTTTCTATTGCATTTGAAACAGGGATGAAGGAAGGTAGTGGCTACAACATAACATTGTACATTCAGAATGAACGTCACCTTCTCATGCCCTTTCAAGTAATGGCATGGAAGAAAAGGTGCTACATTGGAGTAGGTAGAACATCGGAGAATCTCTGAAGCCTGCCCAGAGGAGCTGGAGGGCCTCCTGCCCAAAGCCCCCAGGCAGGACACAGGCACCCTTGCTGGAGAGCTTGTCACAGGGCTGAATGCCCAAGACTTAAACCTGACAGTTTACTTCAGCCTTCCTGCATGATGCCAGTCACTTCCTCACCTTCAGCTTTGTGTGTATGAGTGGTAAAGAGGAGATGGCCGTAACCACAGGCAGAAGGTGGCCCGGCTGTAGGTGTCATCATGAAGGTTATCTATGTGCAGTCTCCCCAGCCCTGAGGGAGAGCCAAGAAACATTTTAGGACCAAGAAGATGCTTTTCCTCTGAGTATTGCCAGTGTCCTCCTGAGCTTAGATTCTTTGGGTATTTCTGTGATCCTCGGAGTACTTCTTCCCATCAGTAGCAATTCTGTTACAAAATTATAAGGTTGTAGTCCCTTGGTGGTGCACAAGTTTAATGCTCTTGGGTGCTAACCAAAAGGTTGCTGGTTGGAGTTTAACCAGAGTCACCTCAGAAGAAAGGCCTGGTGATACACTTCCAAAAAATCAGCCATTGAAAACTCTGAGGAGCACAGTTCTACTCTGACACACATGGGGTCGCCGTGAGTTGGAATCAAGTCAATGGCAACTGGTTTTTCTGGTTATTTATTTCAGAAGGATTCACCTCTCACCTGCTTCTGTCTTAGAGCAGGTCCAAACCCTAGGGGATATTTTGCTGTGTTATGTCCATGTCTCTTATGACAGTGAAAATTTATTTTATATGTATAACCCAGTACCACCACAGCCCCTAAACCAAAAATTTCTTGGTCTAAACACTCCAAGTGATGTCCTACCATCCCTTCCCTGGACGCCACCATTTCTTCTCTGCCTTTCTCTGATAATGCTTTGGGACCAAACTCCTCTCTTCTGTCCTGTGTATGTCATGCCACTCATTACCTCCTAGAACTGGCCAAAAAGTGTGTCTTTCCTTCTCCCAGCCAAGCAGACACTTGGCAGTGTGTACAACTTGAGAAACAGAAATACCACCTCAACTTTGATGACAGGAATCTAGTGCTTAATCCCTCCCTAAAACTAAAGGAGCTTGTTCCCACCCCTGATTTCTTGACTACATTTGTGCTGTGTTGTAAAAATATCCAGTATACAAAATATAAACATAAACCACAAAAGAGCAGGGTATTACTAGGATTACAGAAGAAATTCTTTGCTTTTCAAAAACACAGTTCCCTTCTTCATGGAGTTCCACCACATGGAGAAATCATCTGTCACTTTCACAATTAGATCCACTTGATTAAAGTTTGATTCATACACACTATTTGAGCTGTACAGCTATTAGGTTGCTTTACCTTATTTGAAAGATCATTTCCTGTGTTTGCTTTGATTTGTTTCTTGATAAATGAAAATGATCCAAACTTTTAACACTGCCACCTTTGACCCTTACTACAATCTCTTGAAGGTTGACTTTGATCAGCCTTTTGAAGATTGGCCTCAATTTCCTAATTTGTCTCATAGAGTTTTGAGAGTTGTATTGAGCAAGTTCTGGGATTTGCATTTTATCTTATACCAAACACCCCTTTCTAAGAGCTGTTCTCCCTTAGTTTTGGAAGCACTGGGGGTTTTCATACTTATTTTGTAGAGCACCCATTTATATTTATTTCTGTATATAGAACTAAAACAAAAAATAATAGTGTTAAAATCTTCGTTGTGGTTTGAACATCAGAGCTGCATTTTGGCTAAGATGGCGATTCCAGGCTCTAATTGTTCTGTCTTTAAAAAACTGTGATAAAGCATGAAATTCTGTGAAGGGAAAAATAGTAAATTAAGGTATCTGAAGTTTCTAAAGAAGACATTATTGGAGAAATACATACTCCCCATGTCTCTTTGGTTTAATAATTAAATGGCAAGGGAAAGTTATTTTGATAACTATTAGAATTCAATGATACTCTTCTTTGTTTACTGTTCCTTTCTGTTAAAAAGTTTTCTGAAAATTGTTTTACTTTTCTTAACTTGGTTGAACTTTAAAATTGATTGATTCTCATAGCTTTTATAGCAAGAGTTGTTTTTTATCCAAAACCCAATATGATAAAATCAAATTGTACTATATTTGACCCACTTAATTTACTTAAAAATTACAACTGCTGACACATGGTGTTGCCTTGGGTTGAGGTTAAACTTTTCCCTTGTTTAAATGATAAATAAGAATGCAAACAATTTCCTGGGCTGTTGTTTTTCCATCTTACTGATTTTGTTTTAAATGACTAAGTTTTGGCACCAGTAAATATGTAAGTGATGTCATGTAACCAAGGCAGAGCAGGGCCAAAGAGATGCATGGAAGAAAAAGTGAAGATCTAGGACAGTTGTTTGCTGAAAATCATCTTATAATGGGAAATGTGAGACAAATTTTTTAAATGACAGAAAAAAAGATTATTTTATTTCTTGTTCAAAATGGGAGCTAGCATGGTATCTAGAAGCATAAACTACCCCTAGTTGTGAATGTTGAAAGCCCTTTTACTGTTTTGCATTCCAGTTTGAATAGTTTGTATTGAAGTTTGATTCATATCTTGTGTATGTTTTGGTGCATAAAAGGGGAAAATTGGTGTTTTTACTTTTGAAATTTACAGGAGAAAGGGCATGTGATTAGTTTGCTGTAAGATTGTATTCTGTATATATGTTTTCATGTAAATAAATGAAAATCTATATCAGAGTTATATTTTAATTTTTATTCTAAATGAAAAGAACCCTTTTTACTTGAAAAGAAATTGTAAGCCACATTGTTAATAAAGTACAAATAAATTCTGTGGTGGTATTTGTGTCTTTGTGCTGAAGATTATTAAATATTATTGTTAGGGTTTCCATTAGGATTTTTTTGTTCTGGATTTTTTTGCCATACACCAAAACATAATTTATAGCTTTTTAATAAGCATGACTATCAAAGTTCTGTGTGACCTTGAACTGTCACCTACCTGCTCTGGAACTTTCTGCTCAAGAAACATGTATTTATCCTTTTTTTTTGTTAAAATATTATGATATATTCTCACATGGTCACTTGTAACCTTCCTGTTTTCAATCATTTTAGTTATTCTGTGATTACCAGATACTTTAGTAGAAAGGCTATGTCTATGAAAGTGATAAGTAAATTAACTATATATACATTTATCATTTTCTTTTTAAGTATCACAAATAGATATTCATATTGGAAGAAGAAGAGGTAACTTCTGCCACTCTGCCTCATCTGGGATCTCACTCACAGGCAGGACATACTCCTTTCTCTTCTACCACCACACTCAAGTCACAGTACCTAGGGACAGAGAAGATAAACAGTGGATAAAAGGCATGTAGGTAAAGGAAGTGGAGGAATACTGGCTAATTGCTCCTTGCTTCTCATCCCAGATAATTTCAGGTATCTTAACCTCATCTGGATATACCCTTTTACCCAACGGACAATCAAGTTCTGCATATGGAAGTTTATTTAATCATGAAAGCTTTTTTCTAATAGCAGAGCATTAATAACAGCAACAAAGCATAATAGGATGAATTTAAAGTGGTAAACCTTTTTTCTTCATCTAACCAAAATATACCAGAAGCAGATACATAAAAGGCTATATGGCTGAATAAATACAATCATTGTATTTTAATTTGTATTTGAAGATCTTTTAAGAATAAAAAATTTAAAGACTATATATATAATGTAAAAGCTGATCACACTTTCAGGAGACCTCTACATTGAATGAATGAAGCAAAAATATGTGTCTCCCCATGTTACCAACAAAAATCCACTTTAAATTCTACTGCTACCTAGTGAGGCTGTTTACAACTTCCAGTTCACTAGAAATTACTTCCCTTGTATTGAAAATTGGTGCCGCTGCTATTTTATTTTAAGGCTGTGAGAGAGCACAGTGCTTACTGGAGCTTCAAAGACTACATAAAACATAACTGTTTACATGGACACCACATTGGTGACTCCTATGTGCAGTCTGGACATTTTACTGATAAGGTGAAAATACTACAGCAAATGAACAGATGGGCCACAAAGAATTATAAGGGAATAATTTCATCAAGAGGTTTTATGATGTCAGCCCCAGCGTGAGCAGCAACACATCCTATTAACGCTTATTTGTTATGTCAGTGCCGTTTTGTTTGCTGTACTCGTGTAACTAAATGACCTTTCATAGTG